TATGTCTTTTCTTCTTTCTTTAATTTTTCCTTATTTGTACCTTTTTTTTATTTTGTCGTCCTTTTATTTATCTCCACCACATTATCCCCAAATCCTCCACCGGCCACCGCATATGCCTTGGCTTCGACTCCATATTCATCCACCGCAGATCTCCGGTCTCTCGGTGTCGGTTACCGCACGGAACCGCAAATTCATCTTCTACCTTCGTCCGAAGCACGAGCCCGTCGGATCCCCCGCACGTCGCACCGCCCGGGTACCCACGCCGGATCGCCCGCGCGCCCCCAGCGCCTCCTCGCCGGTGCAGCCTACGCGCCCCGGAGGCCCGTCGTCCCTCCGCCCCGGAGGCTCCTCCCCGGCACCGACGCCTCCCCGTGCGACGATGCCCTTCCCGCGCTGGCCTCGCCTGCCACAGCCGTGCCCGTGCGTAGTCACCGCGGGGGCAAAGGCGACCATTGGCTGCGATGGGCCCCACCACCGCGCGACGAAGCTGGGAGAAGCGCTCCCAAAAGTGCTTCAGAAGCTGTTTTGCTTACACGACTACCAGAAGCACATTTTCCGGCTGATCCGCAGGAGGAGCGAGGAGCTGTTTTCCCGGACGCGTTTGGTAGTCGTGTACGCAACGCTACCAAACGGCCTCTAAGTCAATCGGATCGATCGCCATCGGCCGGTTGGTCGCGGCGATTATATTAAGCCGCAGTTGTAATTAGGAAACAAATTAATACTCTGCAAGCAATCGCCGCTTATCTGGAAAAAGAAGCCAAAATACTGTTTCGACTAATTTAGTGTGAGAGAAAAACATTATTCGATTTAAAAATAGAAGCTGAACAAACCGGATTTAAACACAAGCGAACGGTGTTGGATCTCGTCTCTCGCCGTCGGTGTCAGTCAGACACAGCAAAGCAGCTGCCACGCAACATGAGGAGGCCCGCGTGTTTTGCTCCCAAAAACCGGTATTCCTGTTGAAATCACTAGAAGAATTCTACAAGGGCTGATATCTGAACATGGCATTGCTACTCATCTCAGTCTGTCGTGAAAAACAGAAACCGATGTTTGCATTTGTTGTTTGTCCACAGGAGTTAAAGGGCTCTAGTCTAACTGATTAGAGCGTCCCAGCGGTACTTCTTAGGTCTGGGTTCGACTCCCTGTGGGAGCGAATTTTAGGTTGGGGTTAAAAAAATCCCCTCGTCTATCTCACGCCAAAGCACAGGCCGGCTCTGTTCTCACATGGGTATGGTGCCACTGTGTATGGGTGGGGCAGGGGTTCAGGGGTTTTCTAGACCTACGTGAGAAAGTTCTTCTTAATGCAATGCCCGGGGGTGGCTTTCCGCCCGCAGGTCCAGTTTGTCCACAGGTGAGACACCGGCAAAGCAATGCAACAAGAAGCTTCGATCTTGTGAGGCATTTTGAATGACACTGGGAGCTGTACCCTTCAGGGTCCCTGGACTGGCATCTGCGACAAACGGTGGTGGCCCTGTTTGCTTGAACTTATCAGCCGTATATTTTCAGTAAAATAATAGTGTTTTTTTCTCACAATAAATCAGCGTCAGTTATTTTTCCAGCCAGCCGAACAGGGCCATTGTTGTGGGCTTGTAGCAAATGATTTGTTCCTCAATTCGCTGGATGTTTAGAGATACTGCGGGTATGATTGGTATGGTATGGTACCTTGAATGCTTCGGGCCAGGCTGAACTTCAAGGCCATGCCAGCCTGAGCCTGGTCTAGTGCATGTTTGTTTTACGGTGAGCCAGGTACAGCAGGGACGTTGTTTGGCTATACTGAAGTTACAGTAAATTCAGTCGTTGCCAATCATAAATGTCATCGCTTCTAGTGTGCTAGGCCTGCTAGAAACGAAAGAGATTTTCACTTATGCGAAGCCAACCTCAGAAGCCACCTTTTGCATCTACACGAACAGGCCGAACTATTATTGTCCAGTTAACCAACCACACAAACCATCCTGATTGGGCTACTTAATTGGCAAGTGGGCTGGTGTACTAAACATGTCTTCGCTCGACCTGGCCCAGCAAGCAAGCAACATGAGCACTCTAATACAAAAGGGTCACCACCAGCATGAGAGAAGGCATCGAACGACCGGACGACGAAACCAGCGGCGAGCTCTGCTCGATTCTATCCGCTTTCACCTTCTTCTTCCTCCCATCTTCTATACCTAGATACTTCTAGAACCCTCTAGAAACTTATGTTGTTTCGTATTTGGGTGGGGTTGCTGACCGGAGTGTGCGATTTTCCATGATATTGAATAGTAAGGTGTAATACTTATGTTTTTTGTTTGCTCTTAGTTATATGGTTGCGGTTGTAATAAATGCCAAATTTGCAATTTGATGAATGTGATCCTCTAGAAATTCTAGAGAAGACACTAGGACCCATTGTTGGTTATAGTGGAAAATTGGAATGTATTGGTTGGTTTGTTGGGTTTTTACTTCTCAATTTGAGAAGTTTTTTCACATAAATCGTTGTCAATTGTGCACCTGATTGGTAATATTCCTGTTGCTTATTGGGTCGTCACAAGAGGACTGACTAATTAGCTAGCTCATTTTTATGTTCTTTTATGTGAACACAACCTAGAAGTTTATAATGATCTACCTTGTTGATTTCATGTAGACCTGTTCATGGGCCACATTGATATCGGGTTAGATTTGGCCCATGATTTTCAATTCATGGCCCAATGCAAGCCAAAAACCCCCGACCCAATGTAAGTAAACCTAAGTAAAACTAAGAAACAGACCAAGCAGAACCGACCCATCAGTGCATCGGGTCGGGCGGCCATAGGTTACTATTGTTTCTAGCCTGATCCAATCCAATATCTGATCAGGTCTAATTTGGCACAGTGACACAGGTGCAACTAATAATCTGAAGAGCATAATTCAGATCGAAACAACTACAGTTACTTTCGATGTTGATGGAAATAGTGATACGCATGGCCATTCTTAAAGTTAATTATAACGCTTACACTTGATAAAACAAACAGTGAAATTAAATTTGTTCCTGCATTCGCTGGAGGTTTCGGGCATGATTGGTACCTTGAATGTTTCGGGCCTGGCTGAACTTCAAGGCCAGGCCAGCCAGAGCCTGGTTTAGAGCCTGGTTGAGCCAAGTGCACCAGGGACGCTGTTTGGCCAGTAAATTCAATCGTTGCCAATCATAGGTATAGAGCGTTGTGTCCCCCAAGTGTCATCGCTTCTATTGACCAGACTGGCTACGAAAGAAGGAAATTTTCATTTAAAATATGTAAATGCTTCTTGTCCAATCATAGGTATAGAGCGTTGTGTCCCCCAAGTGTCATCGCTTCTATTGACCAGACTGGCTACGAAAGAAGGAAATTTTCATTTAAAATATGTAAATGCTTCTTGTAGTCCGTCCGGACGCCAGCTTTCCGAGCCTGCGGACGCTCCGCGACGCCTAACGTCCCAACACTCGTATCTGCTCGTCAACACACCCCCAATCGAATCTGCTCGTCTAGCCCGCCACATCCACAGCGCTGCGACCGCGCTCAACCCACGACCGCGCCACCACTGCCCTCCATGGCTTCACTGCGACCATGTCGCTGTGGTGTTTTCCACGGCGTCTAGGCAGCCACCGGCCATCATAGTATGTTTAAAAGTATTTCAGGTGTTTTATTTGGGTGTTGTAAAAGTAAATATGAATGTTGCATTTGTTGCAATGGCTACACACGTAGTATGTTGCAAGTCTATGTTTCTAAATGTTTCATCGGCTTCGGACGTATGTTGCAATTGTTCAATCTGGGGGTTGCAAAAGTATATCTGGATGATGCATATTTTGCAATGGCTATGTTACAAGTGTATGTTCTAAATGTTTCATCCGTTTCAGACGTATGTTGTAATTGTTTAATCTGTGTGTTGCAAAAGTAGATCTGAATATAGACGTGGAGGAAGCCCAGGTTCTCGGTGGTCCGTGGTCGTGTTGCTGCCCGAGCAGTATGGTGGCTGCTGGTCTGCTGCGACGAACGACCAAAGGAAGCGGGTGAAGGGGACCTCCGGCGACGACGGCATGGTCGCGAGCAGTGGAGGCTGGACTCCCGCGGGGGTGTGAGACGCGCGGTAGCCGGTAGATACCTGGTGATGCCCGCGGACACGGAGAAGGTCGATTGCTGCGGCTCCCTGGCGTATTGACCGATGGCGAAGATGGAGGCCGTGGATGCGGGAGCGGCGGGGATGGGATGCCACGGGTGACGCCGGTGACGCGGGCGCGATGGGGATGGGACCTCGCGGGCGCAGCCATGGGCCGAACGGTAACGGGCGTGGTGGATCAAGCGGGATGGGGCGCACAAGAGCTGCGTCCAGACATTGGTGCTCGTTCGAACGTATGGACGCTAGCTACTCCGTTTAAAATATAATGCGAAGCCAGCCTTACAGCTATCTTTTCCATCTACAGGAACAGCTATGCTTACCTTGTTGATTTGACACAGGGACTCAGGGTGCAGCTAATAGTCTGATGAAGAGCATTAAATTCAGATCGAAACAGCTACATGTTACTTTTGATGTTGCTGAAAACAGTGGCACGCATGACCATTCTTAAAGCTAATGAAGCGCTTACACTTGATAAACAAACAGTGAAATCAAATTTAACACTTAACAGGCTTGCCTGCAAACCTAGAGAGCCATCAGTTGAAGAGCTTGCGTATAGATAACAGTACGTTCGTTTGGCTGTGGCTTGTCGTAAACGATCGTAAATCTCCAGCTGGAACAGTATTTTCTCTCACACAAACCAGCCAGCAGTACTTCTTCACGAACCAGCAACGAAACGAACCAGCCAACCGAACATGCTGAAGATTTCAAATTCAAAGAAGATCTTCCCTTGCATTATTATTTATTATTACATCATGCTAATATATAGCACCAGAGAAGTTGGCAACAAGTAAAAAAGTAATAAGCACATCCATAATACGGACAGTCCTTTCTTACCATATACATATGACAATTGACCTGCACTGCAACTGATGTCGCTGACGCATCGGATGCGATGAACTCTAGGAACCGCCGCCGCCACAGCCCCCTCCACCACCACAGCCCCCTCCACCACCACAGGCCCCTCCACCGTCACCTCCACCACCACCTCCAAGTGTCGGTCTTTTTTTTTTAGAGCTGCCTCCACAGAGGAGGACGGTGAGCGTGATGGCCCAGGCGGAGAGCAGGGCCACACCGAGCACCGCGAGCCACGGCGGGACGAAACCAGCTGCGGCAGCTCCTCCACCGTAGGCGAGAGCTCTTGCCATATTGTGAAGAGAGAACACACAACACACAAGCGTAGGCAGAAGGGCTCTACAGCTGCCGGATGAGACGCGTAGAGCTAAGCTAGGCAGACTATATATATACAGCACCAGTAAGTCATGTCATCTGATCGGCCGGTTGGTCGCGGCGATTATTAAGCAGCAGTTATAATTAGAAAACAAAATAATGTTTTGCACGCAATTGAAAAGTAGATAATAAGGACATGGACCTTGGCTCTCGCCGTCGGTGTCATGAGGAGGCTCGTGTTTTGCTTGAGGAAACCGTTATTCGTGTTGGAAGTCACCGCTGCTACAGATTTGTAGAAACATTTCTATTTTTTACCAGGGTGATTTTGTTAAAATCTTCCTTTAAAAATAGTTTATGAGCCAATCTATCCGAAATTAACTTTTTAATTTAAAGGCGGCTAGAAAACTCAGCCGACTCTAGAAATATCCTCTATTTTTAATTGCTTCTATAAATGTATAGACGGCTGCTAGTAAAAATATTATTTCTACAGATAGAGAAGTAGAGGTATTTTTAGAGTCCGCTCGAAATTTCATCCGTCTCTTTAAATAAGGTTGGCGATTTGGCGCACCTCTAAGATACACACAGTAACATTTAGAACTTTTTCAAATGAAACCAGATGAAGACCAATTTTATATTAAAGTTGTATTACTCGAAGAGATCTACAATATTGTAGTCGATAACTTTTCATTTGAAATCATTTAAGGCCTGTTTTTTTAGTTTTCGTAATTTGAAATTTATTTTATTAAATTTTTTCAAATGACCTTGACGGTAGAAATAACCTAAACCAAAGTTGTAGTACTTGAAGAGATTTAGGTTTTTGTAGTTGACTATTTTTTTCATTTGAAATTATTTAATGCCCAAAAAAATTGTTTTAAGTTTTTAGATTTTGATTTTTTTTAAAAAAATCTAAATGATCTCGGATGGAGAAATGACCTAAATTAAAGTTGTAGTACTCAAAGAAATCTACGACTTTATATCGGTTCAACATTTTAAATCATTTAGTGCTCAGAAAATCTGTTTTAAATTTTCAAATTTTGAAATTCAAATTTTGTGAATAGTTTTCAAATGACCTCTGGTGGATAAAATACTTTAACCAAAGTTGTATTACTCAAAGAGATCTAATACTTTTTAGTCTAAACTATTTTACATTTGAATTCATTTGGGATCTCAAATATGCATTACAATATTTATTAAAGTAAATACAAATGATTGTATCAGCCACTTTGTACGAGTGATTCTGAGTAGTTGCAGTAAAGAAGCAATGTGTGAGGCCGAGGGTCTTGAATTTGACCCTTGCAGCCACATACGCGCAAATAAAAATCTCGTGACTTACGACGCGTGTGGTCTGGGTCAAACCGCCGCCTCTACAAACCCATGGACACGCGGTACGCCTTCTTGACTGGTTCATCGTCCGGACCTGTGATTTGTGAAGCACCGATGCCCGATGGAGTTGCATGCGTTATCAAGTTAGCCAATACGTGTTGTTCTCATCGATTGGGAAGACCAGCAACTAAAAATATCCAGAGTCAATCTGTCACACGAAAATGACATTTTTGTTTGGGTCGAACCTAACCAATTATGAGCCCAATATCTATTTATAAAAGAAAACTTTTTACTCAGAACGCACATCCTTTTGTATGAAAAAGAACCGCGAAGTAAGCTTGCTCGACCTATATCAAGATAAAAATCTTCCTGTGATATTTACTATATATTATATAGAGCAAGTACGTAACCTTGACAAAGGACAACCATGAAAAAAGAAATATACCGAAATGGAAGAAAGTGTTGTTTATTTAACAACTGACCTATTCAGTGACGCGTCTCTTTTTAAATTGCCAATTGCAAGTAAATTAATTCCGATATAGTAGCCTAATAAGGTATAACTCTATTAGACTTGCTAGCATCCGACGTTTAAAAATGCTTATAACAGACGGCGGGCCTGTGGCAAATCATTGGTCGATCTGGTTTCCCACATGGCCCTCCATTGCATCTCGTTGGCTGACACTTGACCGAGGGAGATATATAGCTACATCAGTAAAACATATATTGCAATATCTCAAAGTCGCCATATGAAACATGAGAGAAAAGCTATTGCAAAGCAATGGTGAATTACTGCAATGTAATAGAGAAAACCATTGAAACAATTGTAGCTTCTCCAAAGCGAATATGCAACATGAAACAGTCTATTACCACAACATCAAAATAAAGAGACGATGAAACATCTCGAACCATAGGAGAAATCATCTTATGGCGTCTGGGCTGAAAGGGGCTAGAGTTTGAATTCTTCGATGTTTCTTTTGTGAATTCCGAATTGAAGGAGTTCATCTGGGCTGGTGATGTGAAAGAAAGTGAAAGATGATGAGCTACTCTAGGCATGTGCTTGGCTGGATTTTTTTTCTTCTTCTGCCATTACATAGTACGCTCATTTCAGGAGATCCGAGTTGTTTTTTTCCCTGTTGAACTGCTTAACTCTGGGTGTGCTCAATCCATCATGTATGTTGCAATTTTCAGAACCCGCCTAATGTACCTGAAATGGATTTCAGGGCTATGTGTTCCATCTGGCTGTGTAATTGCTATTGTACTTTTTAATTGATGCTTCCTCTTAGAACATGTCTTGATCTACAAATGCTGATAAATGGGAACCTGGCATTGCTACTCATCTCAGTCTGTCGTGAAAGACAAACTGGCGTCTGCATTTGTTGGTTGTCCGGAGGTGAGAGGGAGACACATGCAAGTTAATGCATGCATGCAACAAGAAGCTTCGATCTTGCGAGGCATTTTGTGTGACACTGGGAGCTGTACCCTTTAGTGTCCCTGGAGGTGGCGTCTGTGACAATGGTGGCATGGTTGTGGCCTTGTGGGCTTTTGGCAACTGTCAAATGGTTTGTTCCTCAATTCGCGGCCTGGCTCAACTTCAGGGCCAGACCAGACCAGCCAGAGCTTGGTCTAGTACATATGTATCTGCACATGTTTTACAAATGTTTGGCCGCAGTGAGGTTACAGTGATTAATTCAGTCGTTTCCAGTCACAGGTACAACGCGTTAGGCGTTCTCCACATGTGTCGTTGCTTCGCGCGAGCTAGGAGGCCCTCTAGAAAGGAAGGAAATTTTTGTTTCTGTGGAGCTGGCCTCAGAGCCACCGTTTGCATCTGCAGGGACTGAGGGACATGTCAAACTACTGTCTACCTTCATGGAGGGGAGGGATTTTAGGAACCTGTATCCTGATTGGGCTACTCAATTGGCAAGTGGGCTGGTGTACTAAACATCTCTTTGCTCGGCCTGGCCCGGCAAGCAAGCAACATGAGCATTGAACATTTGAACGACCGGACGGGCAAACAGGGGACGGGAGCTCTGCTCCATTCTACCACCTTTCACCTTCTTTTGTCCTCCCATCTACTAGCTCAACTATACCTGGATACTTCTAGAACCCTCTAGAAACTTTTGTTGTCTCACTATTTGGGTGAATCTGTTTTGGGTTGGTGCCAGAGTTTGGCTTCTGTTTTAATGTCTGATTTTTTTGTTTCACCCACTGTTGTTTATAGTGAAAACTGAAAAATGAGAGTGGATTGGTTGGTTTATTGGGTTTTTACTCCTCAACTTGAAGAGTGTCAATTGTGTATGTGATTGTTAGTATTCTTGTTGCTTATCTGGTCGTCACAAGATGAGTGACTAATTAGCTAGCACATTGTTGACGCTCTTTCATGTCAACATAACCTAGAACTTTCCATTGATCAAAATATATATATCGGGAGTTCTCTGCTTACCTCGTTGATTTGACTCAGGGACACATGGTGCAGCTAAAAACCCGAAGAGCATTGATTCAGATCGAAACAGCTACAACTTACTTCCGATGTTGATGGAAACAGTGACACGCATGGCCATTCTTACAGTTAATTTAAGCGCTTACACTTGATAAACAAACAGTGAAATCAAATTATAACCAAGAGCTATAGATCGATAGCTCTCATTTAAGAGCTTGCGTGTAGATAAGAGTACGAATTCAAAGACTATCTTCCATGCATTATTTATTATTATACATCATGCTAATAGCACCAGAGAAGTTGGCAACAAGCAAAAACTAATAAGCACATCCATAATACAGAAGAATTACAGACAGACATTTCTTACGATACATATATATTAACATATATAATACATCATGCTAATAACACCAGATAAGTTGGCAACAAGCAAAAACTAATAAGCACATCCATAATACAGATTACAGACAGTCATTTCTTACAATACATATATATTAACATATAACAGTTCACCGCTAGTAAATGTCCATATGCACGTCCTCTGGCATCCTGCTGACCTGCACAGCAGCTGATGCATCCGATGCGATGAACTTGGAGTCAGCGCAAGAAAATGGATCATGAACGTGCCTTAGTTGACCCACCTATGAAGGTGCAAGAGATAGTACAAGAAGAAAAAAGTATCCTCCACTCAGCTGAATTCCTTTTAATCTTGGGATCCGTAGGTTCAATGCTATATATATTTATTAGTTTCAATCAATTTAAGCTAAGTTTGATTACTACTTTTAGTCAATTAAGCTATGTTTGATTATTAACCATCATTGTAGATACATAAATTTGGTCTCCAAAATTATTTATTATTTATGCTTTGCTCATCTGGATACAGAAGAAAAGAAAACATATACAGAGATTAAGGCAACAATGGAACCTGCTGGGAATACTCAGATAGTTGCCAAGGAGGAAATGCTATCAGCCTCTGACAAAAAAATGGATACAAGGGGTGAAGAAAAATTGCCGATCACAGACGATGCCGAAATAATAGTTCAACTAGAACGAGACGAGGACAGGAAGCGGAAGCGTGCTCACGAGGATGTCGTACGTAACAATCTCTCAATCAGCTCACATATCCTCACACATGAATATCTATATAACAGGATCACTGGTATTCTAATAATATTGCATATGCAGATCAGTATTATGGATGAAGACAAAGTGCAGATC